CAACGTGAGCATCTTACTGAAGCCTCAGCATTACACGCTCGATAAATTGCGCATCATAAAGCAAACATCCAGGTTCGTGCATAATTTTTTCATCAAGATTTTATGGTGAGTTGATATAAATATACACCTTCATGGGATTACCAAGGTAGATCTCGGTAAATCCAGAAGTCAGAATAAGAATGTTCTGGAGGAATGAGTATACTTATCACTGGCCTCGTGATATCGAAATAATATCAAGACCAGAATAAAGAATCGGCTAACAACCACCGAAGAGAGAAGCGGAGTGGGAATGACATGCATGGCGTGCGAGAGGTAGTCTTTAGAACAGTTAAACAAAAGGAGTACAGTATAACAATTATTGTCAGAATTAAGTACAATAATAAATGTTCCCACTTCAGCAATTTCGGTATATTTTTACAAGTATACCACTACAAGTTTTTGAAACTTTAAATTCTCTCCGGAATAATCACAGTCCCTTCGATCGACAGCTTCACAAAGAGACTTAATAACCACACACTCACTTATGCATTACCATTTTCCTCCTGGACCATCTGTCTGATGCATGTTTCTAAACTTGCAAGTTGCTATTACTGTCATTTCCTCAGATCGCTCACTTAATTTATCTCGTTTATTATTTCTGTTTCCTTTCACTCGCTTACACTTCCGTCCTCTGCACAATCTTCACTACCAATTAATTTCAACATATTTATCCATTTGTTTACTTAGTTCTGCAATCTTTACAGTTTCCTTCCTTTTATTTTCCTCATTGCAACTAACTGATATCCGGCTTGTTGGTGGGATAGTTGCTGGTATTCAGAAACCATACTGCCCTGGAACAAAGGTACTCATTCAAATCAAGGGACACAATTTGACGAACAACTGTAAAGTGACTAAAATCGGTGCAGTCGAGTTGCTATACCACCATTGATTACTTACTTACTTACTTTCGCCTGTTACCCCCAATGGAGCATAGGCCTCCCACCAGTTTCCACCAACCAACACTCTCCTAGGCTTCCCTTTCCGATTCTGTCCAATTTTTGTCCATTCTTCTCATGTCTTTCTCTATTTCTCGGTGTAATGTGTTCCTTGGCCTTCCTCTTTTCCTTCTGCCCTAAGGGTTCCAAGTTGGGGATTGTCTTGTGACACAGTTCAGTGCTTTCCGTAGTGTGTGTCCTATCCACTTCCAGCTCTTCTTCCTGACAGTAAGTTGTCGCTGATAGTGTCTGGCCAACGAATCCGAAGTATTTTGCGTGGATAACTGTCGATAAACACTTGTATCTTCTGAATGTTGGCTTTGGTAGTTCTCCAAGTTTCCGCTCCATACAGTAGAACATTCTTTACATTTGTATCGACTGAACACTGCCTAATGCTTGGGATCGTACCTAAAGGAAAATAAACCGGCACGAAGAAACCAATTGGTTTATACTGGCCCATGATAAATATATTGGATTTTGATATGGGAAGTTGTTTATACGCACCAACTTGCAAACGTCAACTGTCCACCCGCTTCGCATACTGTTACGTTCGTTGTGTCGTAGACTGTACAAATGTTCATTGCTGCAGTTGTGTTATTTGCCTGCATATCTGTAGTTAAAAATAACCCGAACGTTCAAAGTGATGCTTTATTCATTGGCTCCATATCAGCTCGTGACAAGAACCATTTCCGTTCGGTTTTCGAAACACATGTTAATGAATCGTCATCTGATATTTCTAAAACTTACCATGCCATACTAGGTCTTCATTCCCTTAATGAAAGGGTTCCTAATGCAGATTCTGCCTGTTCCACCCTAAACAAACCCATATCAAACTCAGAAGAGGCATTCTATATGAGTTCGCTGCACAAACTCATTGGCACTGCAAAGTGTAAGGTGAGAATTTCGAACTTTATTCATTGGTAATTGTCAGTGTTAAACTGACTTATTTTTATTCATGTTTCTTACATTTATTTAAAAGTAGAGTGGCGAGTAGTATTGTAATGGATTTCTACCCCTTCCCCTCTGATGTTCATCCAGTAACTTAACCGTCATCTACGATTAAGAATTCTTGTCTGTAAAATATCATTCAATTTACCTTAATGCAACATGAAAGCCTAAATCATTGCTCATTTGTCTGGTCATGTGCTGCAAATAAGTGACCTTTTTCTATTTTGTCAAGCTTTCATACGTTAATTTCCGTCTTTACAGTTACTTATGCAAACTAACTGAATCCCACAACAGTTTGCAAAATCTCTAATGATAGTTCTTGTTACCCATCGTCCTACATAGTCCCTACCTTTTCGTAGGTCTTATTGGTTCAAAGGCATCCATATACATGGCCTTATGAAGTTACTGAAGTAGGTTGGTGTATCTTAACATTTTCCAATGCAGCCCACACAATTTCAGCTCTCTGAAGGTCTGAAGTGTCACCTTATTTTAGCTTCTACGTTGCGTTGGCTGACTGATTAACTATCACAATTGTGGCATAGGAAACCAGCTGGTATCGTTAGTATTTCGATATACTGTTAATTCTCGATACTCACGCGTGTATGTCTAAGACGTGAGATCGATGACATATGAGTTAAAGCGTTCGGCTTTACTTGCCTATGAATATTCACCTCTTAAGTGGGCCTCATTAAAATGTTTTGGCTCATAATGGTCTTTATCTAGGTATATTTCGAACCATTAAGGACCACTTGACAGTTCTTCACATACTTGGATAGTGGAAACTTTCATGATTAGCATCCAGGCACAAAAGGTTACCGTATATATGTGTATATATACATTCCACTGTTCTGTTTACCTCTTTTTCTATCCAAATCTTTTCTACCTTCAAATTGTTTTTTAGGTATCAGGTTCAGAGGTTGAGAAGTTGTCCAAGCAGTTGTTGACCGAGGATATATCAATTGAAAATCTGTTTTATCTAGTTTCATCTATGAAAAGTCTGCAAATTAAAAGTTAGTATTCATTCAATCCTCATATCTTCTTCTTTAGTTGACGCTAACCGTGTTACTTCAATAATTAACAAAATAAAGACCACAGATACTAGCCCAATGACGTAAGTGTTTTTTCATTAATTTAAAACATTTTATCAGTCAACTGACTTTGTGATTGTGTACTGTGACTTTTCTCATACTCTTAGCTTGGAGAAACTCTGCTGTCAAGTTAGTGCGGCAAAAACTCTCGCGTGCTTATCTGCTGCGTCAGATGTTCAGTGCATAATCGACTAACTGTATTTCGTTTTTGAGTGTGTACATGAAAGATTATATCTTGTGATCCATTTTATGTCCTTAATCATTGACTAGTAGTAGTGTCTAAAATTATCCTCAATTGTTTGTTGGTGTGTGGACTTTTGAGTACTGCAATATGTGTTGCGTGTGATGTGCCCCGTTGAACTTACCAAATTCATTCTCATTATATGGCTGTACAAAAGGCGGGATAAAGAAACCTCGAAAAGCATAACTGCTAAGTGGTTATTCTCAATACAGGTATAAAAAACCAAGCATTTTGATAATCAAGTCGCAGTCGTTCTGTAAATTATCCGTTGTTTGTTAACTGAAAATCGCTACTCTCAGTTTTCGAATTTTGTTCACTGAAGATGTTTAAACTGTCGTTTCACATCTTTGATAGTTTAATCAATAATAAACTTAGCTCAACGTTAAACATTCGTCTTGCTAGTAGCTCCCTGTATTTCTTATATTAGGAGTTTACCTTGTACTTTCTATACTAATATTATTATTCCAATTTTAGGTTGAGTTTTGTTTTACAAATCGTACTTCAACTTGGTCTGACGAAAACAGATATGAATGGCTACGTATCTAGTATAGATAAAGTTCTGGACCAGGCAAATGAAATTAGTGATAATCAGCTTTTTGTAAGTCACTTTTTTTCCCAGTGCATCACAAGCCCTAAAGTGTACCACAACTATGTGTCGTTCTAAGTTGACATGTTCCATTTTATCGTGAAAGACCATGGAAGACATTAAGTGACGGCTCACAATCGGTGGCGATAGCCCAAATCCATCTACTTTTTATTTCTTTTGAATAGTAGATCTTAAATGTGTATCTTTTGTCTCTAAAATCCTTCTCTAATCATATTCTGTATGCATAATTTGTCGTACAACTTTTGTATTCGTTTTAGTGATTGCTTGTTGTACTGCTGCAGTGTGGTAACTTGAGTCAGTGCAGATTTGTTAGCATAATTTACAAACTTTCAGAACTTCGTAAATAAGTCACTAAACACATAGATAAATCGAAATCAATTTCGTGCTATATATAAACTGAAGTTTGAGCCTGTGGCATATTGGTTGAAAGTCAAATGTTTAACCATTAAGCCACAGCTCCTGACATTGAAATTTTCTGCATGTGTATTTTTCTTCATATTTATTTAAAGTTATGGCTGTATCCTATTGATACTGAATATTGCTCTGAATAACACTGGATGTTTATACTATTGAATGTATTGATAGTGAATATTTGGTAGGAAGCAAAACAAAATGTTAACCTAGTACTATCATCGTATTGCCGTAAAAACATCGACCCCATAGTCCAACAAAACCAGAGTCTGATGTTTTTTAATGTCGTTCTGTATAGTATCAGTTTTAGGATGTGATAGTTATATTGTTCTAATGATGATTCGCAAGGGCATATGTTTTGCTATGGTTAAAGTTCGGTTTAAAAGTACCACGAACCACTTACATAACAAACATTATCTGGCATTAATATCCAGGACGCGTCTTTCGTCCTATCCGGGACTCGTCAAACTGGATGTACTTACATCTCAGAGTTGATGTTCACTCCGAGACTGATTAAATTCCAGTCAAAATATCAACAATGGGATCATTCAAACCATTTGAAATTGAATTAAATCTCGAAAATAGTTTATCATATAGTCCTGGAGATACCTGGTTCTTTAATACAGTTTTTCTATCACCACCTCTTGTTATTCACTCATTGTAGTAATTTAAACTTGTTTCGTTAGCACCTACTAGTGTGTTATTTATCCATGGATGGAGTATTACAGTTGGTTCAATTCATACAGTCTAGAGTGTCTCATCTAATAAAGAATTTTTACTTTCAAGTAAATAAACCATGAATATATTTGAGTAGATTGTTATAGAACCTAAATTTTCGTTGTATAGACTCTTCTTATTCGTGCTATCCTCATGAGCTTGTGTTTATTTTAACAATTTTTTTTTAGTACGAAAAAGGCTTATACACAACATCATTTGTTGCGAAAAGTATTGTTGACTTCCTTACTGTATACGGAGAGGTTCCAAAGAGCGTTGAGGTAATCTTAAAATTTTTTCAATATCATTTTTATTCAGTTTTCGCGAATGACATAATCAACACTATCACTATATTTAACCATATTCCGTTTTCTGTTAACATCATAGCGACTAGAAAAATATCTATTTCTGTTTAGATTGACTAGACAGTTAACTCAATACAATGTTTACCTTATCACTCACTACTCAATTAAAGCATAGTATATGTAACAAGTTCATCCTTAAATTATTTATACGAACATTCCTCAAAATCTGAACTAACATTTCCTACAAAGATCAGGCGCTAAATGTGTTGAGGACATTGCATGTAAACATTATATTTGAAATAATCTTAACGATTAGAATTTAAATAATTTCTACTTTTTCACCTAGCAAACTTATTTAAGCTTCCTCAGAGTCATGTTGGTAGATGTAGGCTACCTGATTGGGGACCGCGAGACGATAGTCACCGATGGTTAAAGACCTTAAATGACATGGCTCAGAATCGGTTGCAGTGGCGCAGGTACATCCATTCTTTGTGTTCTATGAAATTCTAAGCTTCTGCATTCCTCATAATCTCTATCTTTCTCTTTCTAAATTTATCTCACTGAATTATACTTCTCGAATAACATTTTCGAACCCTGATCTTCTCCATTACTGCTAATACTTCTATTGTTGCTATCACTCTTGCATTTGAACTGACAGTTGCGTCTCTGTGCTGATGGGGCATGGCAACCTAAACTGATGTACTTACGTTGTATCTGTCTGTCTGTCTGTCTTGATGATGTTACCGGATGAATTGTTAAACTCCTTTAAATTTCACTCTCTGAGATTACTGCAACGGGAGTGTTAACATCGACGTTGGTTTTCGTGATACTGACTTTCAATATGTAACAAAGTGATTCTAAGTCTGTTATTTTACTTTACTAAATAAATATTTAAAATTCTGATTCAATACTACACGTTGACTGAATCTATTACTCTTAAAATAATTTTTTTCTCAATGATATATTTACTTAAATTATTGTCTCTTTTTTTAGAACAAACTAATCAAATTATTCAACTATCTTTATACACGTCGTCAAACTGCCAATCTACGTGCTTCTGCTTATTTGGTTGCTGCTTTCAAATCATTAACCGATTGTCCAGTATTGGTAAGCGATATTGGTTTACTACGTAATAAATCTGATTTTATTTCATACAAATACGTGACCAAATATCAATTTCGCTTCGTTGGCTCTGAGTTTGTTATAAGTTAAGTTTATAGTAAGCATTAAGTCATTGCCATATTTTAAATGTTTGCTCACATTCTCTCACGATTATTCATTGTATCATTTACCTGACTACACTAAAACATGAAGTTCATCAGCATACTTCTCATCAAGTTCATTTTGAAAACTATACAATCATATTTATTGATAGTAAATAATGGCATCAGCTAAGCGGTCAAAAAGTTTTCAGTGTTCAGTGTGTAGGAAGATTATTACCGCTTATTAGGTAGGGTTATGCAAGCAGAATAAAGTACTAGGCAATCTTCATTAATGAAAGTGGCTAGGATATTTTTTTTAACGTAAGTCTAGCAAACTGAACTTCGGAATCATTTTATTTTTAGTTTGTGAATTCATTTTTTTTCTAAATCATATTCTGTTCATATCATCTTTTTACTACCTCTATTGCGATGGTGACTCTTGGTAAGTTAGGAGTGGCACAGCAACTTGGGTTGATGCACATATTCTCGGTTCTACGTTTCATGTGGTCGACTGACTAATTGAATCACTGTTTGAGTTCAAGCCACACCCAATCTTCAATTCAAACAGTCTAGTATCATTGACCTGAAAATGTCACCAAGCTGAATGCATAAGGTCTGCCCTAACAATATCATACCTCACCTCAGCTCACAGATTTCCGTCTTCGGTGGTAAGGCCTTTTGAAGAGCGGAGCTAACAATTCAAAAACGTCCTGTAACACGGTAGTGCGTGTCCGACCTCAAGCAGCTTTCCCTTGAGCTCTGTGGTAACGCCCCCAAGTCACTAAGACCAACGCCAACCTAACTTCCTGATCCGGATACTCAACAGATACCCTTCCACAGTGTGAGCAACTGGCAGGTGACATCCACTCCCATAGCCCCAACAGCACACCAGATATATTTGCTCCTAATCAAATCCTTCCTCAACCTCCTAATAACTCTTTTCTCCACGACTAACTGTCCGCATATACCGTCATGAACTGGCGTCGCAAACTTCACAAAAATCTAGGCGTCCTGATCTAGTAATAGTGGCTGATGATTTTAATGCTCATTTAGGTGGATGAAGCTAAGTGAATATTCGTAGGTGAATTTATGGTGTCGCGGCTTATTGAACAGATTCTGGCAACCGTCTGCAGCAGCTATGCTCAGATAATCACCTATTTCTAGCAAACACTAATTTTAAGCATAAGGAAAAAGATCTTTTGACATCGCAACCCCCAAATTCGACCCAAAACTAGATCACATCACGATCAGCAACCGATGAAGGCGTTCATTAGAGGACTTTCGCTCGTTCTGAAGCACATGGTTGTCATATTCATCCATTCTCATTAAACTTCTCTATTGACATGCTTTTAGAAACGACACTTTCATCGTCTGACTTTTTTTTTAGTTCACCTTCTACCTGGAGATCTATTCTCCTATTGACTTACAATTTGCAGATGGCATAGTTTCGTTTGGCGACTTGATTTGCCTGCATTATCCCTTAATAAGTCAAGTCACTCTCTACTGCTTATTTTTGTTGATTTCCTTGCTCGTTTCGTTAATATGAGATGTGGCGCAAATAATGCCACTTCCAAAATAAACACACAAATTAACTAGCTAGTAATCTTTTCATTTTCATAATTGTTTCTTACAGTTGCCTGTTGTAGTTGAGTCATCTGTTAAGATCAATGAAGATTTGGGTCTTGCCATTCCTCCAACTTTTTCAGTCGATCAAGCTCATCCTATCTTAACTCTACGTTTAAAGCATATTTGGACTAATGTCTATCTTAAACCAAGTGAATTGAACCTCAAAGCCGATGGTCTTTATGCAATCAAGCAAGCTGGTAATAAGCGTATTTTAATTGGTTCACCTGATCGGGGCACTTTTAAACAAGATGATAAAAAGTAAATATTATCAATCGAATTAATTCAATGTTGTCTCGATAATGGCATGTTATTAGGCAATTGTTTTTTTTATTTCCCGTGAAAAAATCCATTTTGTTAAATTTAAATGTTGCTTCAAGACTGGGTCGCATCGGCACCTGAACTAGTGATAGGGAGTGAAGTAGTCGAGCGAGTAGACCGCTTCACTTATCTTGGGAGTCTCATCAGTGCCGATGGCCTGGTGACTGACGAAATCTCAGCTCGGATACAGAAGGCTCGATTGGCTTTTGCCAACCTGCGTCACTTATGGCGTAGGCGTGATATCCGTTCTCTAATCAAAGGACGAGTGTACTATGCAGCAGTTCGCTCCGTTCTCCTATATGGCTGTGAAACATGGCCAGTGAGAGTAGAAGATGTTCGTAGCTTACTGGTTTTCGATCATAGGTGTCTTCAAAGCATTGCTCGTATACCGTGGGACAACCGAGTAAGCAATGCTGTCGTTAGGAAACGGGTGCTAGGCAACGATGGCAGATCAATAGATGAAATGCTGAAACTTCATCAGTTGAGGTGGTTTCGACATGTGTTGCGTATGCATAACCACCGACTGCCTCGACGAGCTTTGTTTTGTAGTGAAGGAGTGGGTTGGAAGAAAGTTAGGGGCGGCCAAACCAAAACATGGCAGAAATCCATGAAGTCATTGACGAATGGACTTAGCCACGTCGGTAATTGTCGACTACCTGGTTGGGGTCCGCGATATGATAATAATCGATGGTTAGAGACCTTGAATGACATGGCTCAAAATCGTTCACAATGGCGCCGGTGCATTTATTCTTTGTGTTCTGTCAAATCCTAATCTTCTGGATTCTTCAACCCCTCTAGTTTCGACTCTCTAAACTTTTCTCACTGAATCATACTTCTTGAATAGTATCTTCTAACCCTAACCTCTCCGATTGCTTCTAATTCCCTTACTACCTCTACTACTATTGGATTTGAATTGACAATTACATCTCTGTGCTGATGTGGTATGGCAACATGAACTGATGAACTTACGTACGAAGTTCTACGTTGCATCTGACTGACTGACTGAAATGATACAGTGAAAAGATGAAGTTTATCAGAGACATGGGTGATTAGATTAGATTAGATTAGATTAGCATATTACAGTTCAAAAACCAATTTGATCATACCATTAATTTGTTAAAACTTTTTTCAAATGAAAATTGAATGTTAAACTATGGGGAAATTAGATAGAAGACAAGAAAAAAACAAAGTTAATAGGGAAGAATGATTATCACTCATAATACCAGAGTTAGGGTTAGCCTAAGTACAGATTATTTATTTTTAAGCATACATGAGTTAGAAGTTTTAATTTTTCGTCTTTAATACAAATTAACAAAGATTGAGTTATGATCAGTTATAATATATAACCTGTTTTCATGTCAGCGAAAAGAAAAAAGAAGAAAAAACACTTGTGATTAATAATCACATTGATTATATCATCATTGCTTTATGTTATGCTTTATTGAATCTATTCGAATGATTCATGCAATGTTGTCGTTAGGGCGACAAATCAATAGATGAAGTAGTGAAACTTCATCCGCTGAGGTGGTTGGAACATGTGTTACGTATGGCTAACCACCGACTGCCTTGACGAGCTATGTTTTGTGGTGTAGGAGTAGGTTGGAAGAAAACTGGGGGTGGCAAAAGCCAAACATGGCAGAAATCGATCAAGTCACTGGCAACTGGACTGAGTCATGTTGGTAGATGTAGGCTATCTTGGTTGGGGTCTGCGAGATGATAGTAATCGATTGTTAGAGACCTTGAACGGCATGGCTCAAAATCGCTTGCGATGGCGCACGTGCATCCGCTCTCTGTGTTCTCCCGAATCCTAATCTTCTGGATTTGTCAACACCCTTTTTTTTCTCTTCCTAAATTTATGTCACTGGATTGTACTTCTTGAATATTATCTTCAAAGCCTAATCTTCTCCATTAGCAGTAATTCTTCTACAATCTCTAGCACTATGGGATTTGAATTGACAATATCGTCTCTGTGCTAGTGTGGCATGACAACCTCAACTGATGTACTTACAAAGTTCTACGTTGTAACTGACTGACTGATTCAAGTGTGAAGTCCAATAATAACTAGCTGCTTGTCATCTCTGTATGTTTAAAATCGATATTAGCGGATGAAGTATCTAATACTTGTTACTTGTATCGAATACTTTTTCAATTGCAAGTTTCCTAACCAACTAGATCACGTGTTAAGCTAAACAATGGCTTAATGATGAAATGTATTCATTCGACTTTCAACACATATACAAAGCTGTATATATCATTTTCACTCTGTCTACCTTACTACCTACAGTTGGGGAATCTCCGACTAATATATGACTAACTACATACATATTCAGTGTGGCTTTTGTAACCTCATAAGGATAAACCTTCCTTTCGTTATTGCGTTACGTTAATCGGGAAATTCTGACTTGAATATATACTACTAAGAATATTATATTAGCAAATTTTTGACTTTCGATCATCAGTTGCGCACACAACCTGTTTTGTACTAATGGTTTGAATAAAAAAAATGACGAGGTTAATTGATAAATAAGTAGTACAAGTGTTAAGCAATAAAAGATATATAATAGATCAGATTGATTTAATAACTTCCGGAAACAGTTCGGCTCTTTAACGTTTATTATTGTGTTTACTCAGCAATGCATTCCAGCTTACTTTGGATTTGGATGCGAAAACTACTCCAGGACAATATGAATTAGGAGTAACTGGTACACCAGGTAGTAGTAACAAGGCGGATAATCGTCGAAAACTCCTTGGAATAACTAATGTTCAGGTATGTAAACAAACAGTGTTTGTGTTTTCCGTTGGTCTAAAAATGGATTTTTTTTATTATTTTTCAAACAATATTCTACTCTAATATTCGTTAGTAATCTAGTTGTTATCAGTGTATCTATATTTAAACACATATTGATACATAAAAGCACCAACACATATATATGTTCCACATAAATCATTGGATTTGTTTATGTGTCGGTATACTATCCGGTTGGCCAAACCGAAATCACTCCCAGAACCTTCGGTCGAGAGGTCCATGGCAGTCGGTTATCGAGAATAGGTTCACGCCATCTATTCCCTCAGTATAGTGGAACCAATGTGCACCGATTGGTTTAGAATCGGAATTTTTCAACTCACCCAGCTGGATCCTCTGTACCGATCAACCGCGTTTATGCACTTGATATTCGTTTTGTGTCCTCTCAATTCCGTAAAACCCACCACCACCGCCAACACCACGAGAAGGCAGTGATTCTGACTTCCCTAACAGTAGCTATATCCGAACAGCCATATGGGAGCATTTTGAGTGATAAAGCAGACTCCTCTCCATCGGTCGTACCAGGACGTTTGAAAGCAGTGATATATATATATATATCACTGCACGAAAGCAGTAACCAATTAAACTGGATCCAAATAAACGTTTGGAGTTTGTTGCTGCTGCTGATGGTAAGCGGCTGCCAGAGCGTTGAGTTGTGACTGACTTAGATGGCTACAAATCTGTGCTGCAGTAAGCATATCTTCTGGGGTTAACACCCCTGCAGGAAACCCAGTTGTTAGTACAGGACCTGCATTTGAAAAACCTTCAGACCTCCCACTACGACTGATACTGTTGACATAACCCTGTTCAGGACTAGGAGCAACCCGTGAACCTGGTGGTAAGGCGTTAGGAGGTAAATGACTTTCAGATTGTAAGCGCGAAATTGTGTCACACATGTTGGTTTATAATACTACCAGTGATTATTCACATTTACCCTGTTTTGTAAAACAATCCGATCACATTTATTGATGTAGATTAGATTATTAAGTTTCATTTCAAGTATGAATCGGTCATTGTTGTACAACATCAGAGGTTGAATAAAGTTATACATTAACACGGATAAATGCTGAACCAGTGGTCGAGAAGTTAGCCGTTTGCGCGCGAGTCCGAATGTCCTGGGTTTCGTTTCCCGCTAGCGGGGATCGTGAATGCGCACTGCTGACGAGTCCATATACTAGGACGATCCAGCCGTCCTGTGGGTTCCATCTTTCTAATGATGGTCTAACAATGATCGATTCATAGTTTCAATGAAAATCAACATAGTTTTTATGTAAGCGATTTTTTAGATGTTAGAACTGCAGAGATTATTTACAGAATCAATTCATTGATCTTCATGTATAATTAATAAACTCATTCACTTGATACTTTGAGTATAAGCCACATTCCAAATGTGAGGACTAATGGCATTATTTTGGGGCACAGTTTTGGAGGTTTGCGTTTTTACACATTTGAAATCATCAATCAATCATTGTTAGACCACCATTAGAAACCTGGAAGCACTGGACGGTCGTTTCGTCCCAGTATGGGACTCCTCAGTGACAGTGCACATCCACGACTCCTGCTCCTCGCAGGATTCGAACCCGGGACCTTTGGCATTGTAGGCGAAGGCCTTACCATCGGACCACTGGGCCGGCATCCAACGTTGTTAATGTCTAACTCTGATTGATCTAGGGATTTTGCGCGACCTCACCCATTGGTCTTTGGTAGTTATTGCCTACTGCCTCCGACAGGGTTGAACTCCTCCACTGGTCACGTCTTCTCAAATAGAACTCCGAGAATTTCCTCACAAAGCTAGTGGTCACTAGTGAGCACTGTTACGATATTTTGGGGCAGGGTTTTGGAGGTTTGCGTTTAAAATCACATTTGAAATCATTACCCGGTTGCCCGGATGGAATGTTCAAACTTGTGACGCGAGTGATTGAAAGCTTTAACGACTAAGCTACTGTCTCACTCATTAGTTTCCATAAATAAGTTGAATGGCTACGGATTCTTTTAATCTGTTATGAAATAATAGAAAATATTTTCTATTGTAATACCTGTTTCATTTAAATATATTTATATTTGTTTTCTTTTTTTCTAAAGATTCCTTTACGTATAATTACAGAAGCTAAAGTTGCTGAAGCTAAAGTCACTATCATGGATATTGCACATGAACGACATATTGCTGACATCAGGTATTGTGCATGTGTGTGTTTACTCTGTTAGCGTTCATTATCATTAGCTAGCTGTATGCCTCAAGCGCTGTTAAGAACTTGTTGAGTAGTAGTGAATAATTTCTAACTTAGGGCTGTTCACAATCAATTCCTGCTTTGTCTTGTTTTTTTCAAAGCTTGCACATTTATTTGCTATGTACTTGTCACCCTATATTATCCATTGGCTAATGATACTACTTGTTTGTTCGAATTGAACTAGGCTTAATTCAAAATTTGAACATGGGCTCGTTAGTAGTATCTCTTTGTTGTTGAGCTTGATACGAATGTTTACCGATTTGTACCACATTTGCACAACATAATAAAATTAACAATCATACTGGGAAAGATTTTAACAAAACTGTTAAAATAAAACAGTGATATATCTGAGTGAATGCTGTCACTAAGAGTGAATACATCCACGTCACTGTAATTGATTCCCCAACCATTGGTCAGGATAATCCCAAAGACCCCAATCTACTTTTTATGCTAGTCAAAATGAACGGCAGTTAAGCTTACGTCCTGCATATCCTAATCACTCATTTACTGTATTTGTTCGCGCACCGGACTCCACGTCGTTTACAATTGACTTTTCCTAGACTCTTACGTTTAATTTTAGTGCTGCTCACTGTGTGGCTCTAACGTATGTCAGCAAATTTTCGAACAAAACTGTGATAAAAAGTTGCACCCTACATATATTTCCTACTTTTATAGACCATAGAGTTAACGTATAGGAAACCGCTGTACAATATACTGGGGATGTTAGATCTCCAGAACTCGCTTGATAAATATCTTTGAGATCGATCACATTTCCCACCAGGAAAATCCTTTGCTGTGATTGGTTACCGTGTCATTTTAGTATGCTATTTTTGTGACCGTCCCAAGGACGTC